CACCTCCCCTGGTAGGCTCACTTACCAGCTGCATCAGGAAGTTATCCTCCACACACTCTAGGAACTTCCTTGACTGTTGCCTCTCTGCTGTCTTGTATTTCTAGCAGATGTCTGGCAAGTTGAAGTCCCCCACGAGAACAAGGGCTAGTGATTGCGAGACTTCTGCCAGCCCCTTACAGAATGCTTCATCTATCTCTACATCCTGGTTAGGTGGTCTATAGCAGAATCCCAACAGGACATCTGCCTTGTTGGCCTTCCCCCTCATCCTTACCCACTCAGCACTCGACCTTATCATCACCACTGTTGAGCTCTATACAGTCAAAACACTGCCTAACATACAGAGCCACCCCACCACCTCTCCTTCCTTGCCTATCCCTTCTGAAGAGCTTGTAGCCATCCAGTGCAGCACTCCAGTCATGAGAGTCATCCCACCATGTTTCTGTGATGGTGACTATGTAAGAGCAGAAAAAAACCCTGCTCTAGTACATTAATTCACACATACTTTTGGTTCATTATGAATTCACAATCTCTACTGAAGTCATGTGGTGTATTTCTGTAGTGTCTGATCAACCATCTTCATCTCAAAAAACTACTTAATCAGATATAACTTTGGGGCACCCGGACTTCCTGTAACGACTAGTCAGTTTTGAAAGTGACAGCCAAAAGGAGAGGGGGGGAAAATAAAAAAAAAAATATTCTACTAATTAGAGCTGTCCTACCATCACCGCTACTTAAATGGCAACCTCTAAAAGGGGTAGGCAAACAACTGGGGAAAGCAACACCTTGAAATGCTACAGTTAGATTTGCTAGAGGATATTTGTCAGAATCCACAGTGAAATATAGAAGTAGGAAGCTTACTACAAAACACTGATGACACTTAATACTTTGAAGGGTAACAACTCACCTGAAAGTGTTAAACTTGTTAACACTTGCTCTGCTGTATTTTCATAAGCAAGAAGTGAGGCACAACAGGAAATCTGCAGAGTGAGATAGTTGGTACTGAGAGCCCAACATCTGCTACAGGTAGATCTAGTCCTGCAGACCAAACACCCACTAACAGTTGAACGGCATCTTCAAGGTCAATTTTTTGTAAAAGGAATCAACTTGTTGCTCCCCAAGACCATTCCATGATGCAAACATAAGCACTGGAAGTAGAGACTATTACAAGATTTGCTCCGAACACACACTCCTAATCCAAACAAAAACACTCACATAGATGCACCTAGAGATACAAAATAGGCCACCAGCAATACCTGCATGTGCTCGTACATGCAGAGGAATCGTTTTCTGGAGAACAGAAACTCAGAAAGCCTTAAACTAAACAGTGGTTTAAGACAGCTTTCTTGTTACACTGTTTAATCAGAGATTATCAGTACCTTAAAGGTTATCAGTATCTTAAGGAAAAGTCAAGCACCATGTCCTGCTAGGCAATAAGATACTAAACATACTTGATAGTACAGCCCAAGATACAAGGAAGACACAGTGCTGCTAGTAGCCTACATGAATCACTGTTTCACTCAAAAAACCAAAATGCTACAAAAACTTAAAAAAAAAATTAAAAGGCACAAAGTAAAACCAACCCAAAGACCTTGTTTAGGACCTGATCTTTGAAGCAAGTATTTCAATTCTAGTCTCCCTCTCTGTAAATCCTGCTGCCCAGCCACAGGGTGATGATAATCTGCAAAGTATTCCCCAATACCTTGCCCCATTTTCAACTTTTTTTATTCAATTAGAACAGTATTACAGTGAAAATAACAGGAAATTAGGGATGTTTTAAAATTTGAGCAAAGAAAACTTACATATATAGGACTTCCGGGGGAGGTGAAGAAGAGTTTCCTTAAACCGTTTTTCACTAAGTTGCCAATTGAAAGTTCAGAGTTCTTTGGTCTTGACAAATTATTCATCCCTATCAGTATTCACAGCTCAAGAGCTAACATACCACACAACTTATGAAACCATCTACTTTCAGTGCAGATAGCCAGTAATACCCATTAGCAGGATTTTAAGCTCCCAAGTTAGACACGAGCGAGTGATACTCTAAAGAAAAGTCTTTCCACGTACTTTCACCAAAAACCAAATACCATGATCTTCCTAGTATCAATAGTAAGAATGCCTGAATAGACAGTAACTGTCTTTAGAATAAGGCTGCCATCTAGTAGCAGATTACAGTAAACGCAGAGAAATCAAGCCAGAATTTGAACTGTGAACTTACTTCATGGTCTGACATGCTATTACACAGAGATATAAACACTAGAAGCATAGTTCTTCAGAAAAAAAGGGAAAAGAAGTGGCAGAAGGCAGAGCTTGCTAGATGATGGTTTGTAAACAGGTAGTTCTCCAGTACAATCCTAAACTATTCAGTTCACAACATCAAGTTTATCTAGTCAGGTAAGTTAACATGTAGAGGTGGTATAGAGGTGGAGTGGTATTTCTGTGGTGGCGATATACTTGGTTTTCTTTCAAGTTAATTAAAAAAACCTGCAGGCTAGTTCACTTTTTCTGAAAGATAATTATTTTTCTGTGTGAGGTCTCATGCTACAAAATGCAGTGAAACAAATTAAGTTAGACTGAACCATAAAGACATTCAAAGGCAGGGCCTAAAATCTTATACTGGAACTAGAGTCAACAAAGAAAGTTTTGCATAAGCAACTTCCTGAAGTGTTACATACTTATACTTGCTTCTTGGAAATGAGGCAGTTTCCAAGTAAGTCAGAGCTTCAGTACATAGAATTTTACCCTCTCATCATTTAGCTGTCACTGGCTTTGTTTTAGTTTCATAGACCAAGATCCAATACATTTTACAACTATAATCTACAATGATTTGCCACAGTGTTTCATCCATTGATTATCTCTAACACACAAAGAAAGAGCTCTTGAAATGCCATTGTGTTGATGCTTATTTCATACAATGCAGATGCTTTCCAGTTCAGTCACTGAACATGTTCCAAGAAATCTATGTCTTGGCATACCACAGCCACAGAGTTACCAGGGCTTTGGGAAGATGCTGAAGTGTCCTGTCTATACAGGAAAGAACAGTTTGTTTCTAGTTGGTGGGAAGAGAAAGTCAGGACTCTTGCTTTGCAAGATCCACTGGCAAAGCAGCACTCTCTCCCTAAGGTATTTTCAAGGCCATCTGCTTCCATCACAGCTTTCTTGAAGGAACTGGAAGCCAGCAGGGGAAGAAAAATAGCATGACCACAAGTGGGAAAGAGCTGACAGCAGAGACCTGGGGAAGACAAACGGAACAAGTACAGAAATAGAACTCAACTACCGTTTCAAGAGAGTCTCCACCAATGAAGGAAAAAAAACCAGCCTTGCGCTTTTGAGAGGTATGAACGTATTTTTTAGTACTTATCAGAGAAGGCACCAATCTAAATGTAAGAGTCATAAGTTAAGTTTTGTCACATCTAACAACATTAACTTCAGTCCTCTGAAGATAACTTTAATTCCATGTACAGGAGCAGAAAGAAACAGATACCTGTAGGAATGCCAAACAGACTGCATTAGCAGTTCCCTTTGTCCCTTCTTAACACATTAGATCTCTAGCAATAGAAGCAACACAAGCCTGATCATATCTTGAGTCTTCAAAATTAGAACTTCCCTTTTGTCATTCTGACTTTAATAACTTACCATGCAAACACATGCTCTATTCTTAAGAGTTACTCATCTGTCCTTTCTACTGGTATCTGTGACAGGCTACAGTTCTGGAAAGCAGAAGTCTACATGATGTAGGGAAGTAGGTCTTGTGTTCGCAATTCCTCATTTACTGGAATAAAGACAAACGCAGATTAGTGGTTTAAGCGCATTTCCACCCCCATCCCTCTCATCCAGTACTAAAATGTACCCCAATTACTCCTTAGGAGTTAAGAATTAAAAATCACTTTCCATGTTTCCTGCTTCTGCTTACCAAGTTGGCATCTGATCAGTCCCTTGTGGCTTAACTCAAAACTATCACAGATCCTTCCTTTAACTAATAACCAGTCAGTATTTTATAGTCTAGCTTTATTAATAAAAATTTCTGCTTCCACAGAAATCAGTTCTGTAGCAGAACCTCATTAGGTAATTCTCTAACTATTAAAGTAATGTGATACTGAAAAGCATGAGTAATACTGAGAAAAAGTCAGAAATAATGAGAAAAATACAGAGAAAAACTAAGACACTTAGTTGCACTTCCCTTCCTAGAAAAGAGTGAATGAAAGGTGACAAAAATCTAGTATGTCAGATTTTATGAGTGCCATTGCCTCCTACACCTCCTCCCTCAGGATTTTACAGAGCTTGAGCTTTTTTGGGGGGGGTAATACAAAACCCCCATATATTTACTAATGTAAGAGTTTGGGCTCAGATTGCCCTGTACCACTTTAACAAAGACAACTTTGTTGAATGCTTTCCCCAAACCTATTTCTACCAAAACAGCTCATATTTGCACACTCAGGTAGACTTTTGCTTTGGTATTTACAGTCAACAGTCCAAAGACAATACTGCTAAGAATTACACTTTTAAGACAGTCAAAAAAAGCTGATTAAAGGAACTAGCATATCCTCATCTTTTGGAAATACCAGTAAGAAGATGCTAGCTGCAAATCTACATCTCTGATGCCTGCTTCTCTCCCTCTCCAATAAATGATGGGCCAAGAGAGAGTAGGGGAGAAGTACTTACCGTCTGGACAAGGCAGACACCCAGCAAACAGTGGTTACAAAACAAGTGCTTAGCTCTCAAACTTCAGGAGTCTGACCCCAAAAAGTATATATGATTTTTAAAAACCAACTCTAAGTAGCAGGGAATCATTTTCTAGAAAGAATTCATAAACAATACAAAGTTGTCAAGCAGAATAATTCCCCCAAATAAAACCACTTTAATTTTCCTCCTATCGGAATTATTTCACACCTATTAAAAAAATGCAAATCTAAAGTCATCCCTAGGATGAATATCAGATTTCTAAGAGGATTAAAACCAACACATCCTAGGTATCACAAAGGTATTTAATTACCAGTTCAATAAAATATTGGAATATCAATTTATTAAAAAGTTATATGAACTGTACATACGTAAACTGCAATATAGCTGAAAAATCTGAAATATATAATTTTAAAGGAAAATCATTTATTTCTGAAAATATTTAAAATATTGCATTTCTGGCAGCAAATTTAAGAGAAGTGCTCTGGAATGGTGCAGTCTCTCTGTGCATTTGTCTAACATTTGTCTTCAAGGTGTGAAACATATCTGCTTTCTGATTTTTCATAGCACAATCCTGTGAACGCTTTCTTTCTGACTTGTAGAGACAGAATTCGATTTCCAAGAACAGCAGCAGAATTTTAACAGGAAACTCTATGGTCCTTGTTGGTGCAGACAACACACTTTCCGAGAGTCCTCGACACCTTGGAAATATGCTAGCCGTTCTGCATATAAATGCATCAGATTGTGCTTACAAGTTACAGAATAAGTCTTTGATTGATAATTTTTCTGTTTATTTCCGCCAAGGCCACTGAAAATACGAAGGCCTTTTCATCTGAAAGGTTAGCATACACGTCAACTTCTTTTTCTTGTTTCTCTGTAGAAGAAAAAAAAGTCACTATTAGAAGCTTTTTCTGTTATCCAAAGTTAATGCAAATTAGTAGTTAATAAATTACGTGGAATAGGGTACTGGAACTGAAAAGAAGTTAGACAATCAACTCCTATGCAGGGAGGGATTGAGAGAGAGGAGGAAGGAATGGAGGCACACAAAGGTGCTAGAAGAGTCACAGAATTAGTCATCCAAAAGCATGACTGAATTTCTGTTCTTTAATGACAAAGAAAGAATGAGTCACTAACATTATATTGATTCCTGACACAAAAGAGCATTCAAGTGTTCCCCCAGTTTGGGGTTTTTTTGTTTTGTTTTTACATAAACACCTCCCATCCTAGGAAACAGATATTTCACCATATCCTCATTAAATACAGCATTTGTCCCCTCATTTTACATCTAAGTAACAGAAACCCAAGAGTTTAATTACAGTGTCCAAGACCAAAGAGCAGATACGTGGCAGAAGTAAGGTTCCCAATTTGTCACCATGAACATTTCTGGACTTTCTATATGGAGACTTTCAATCTTATCCCAGATATAGAACAATGCTAACACCCCAGTGAGCAAGGGAAAGCCTCTGAATTCCCTCTGCTGATGTTGGCTTCTTTCAAGGCTACAGATACACAACAGCAAGCTGTCAAGAAGTTTCCATACTGCAGTGCTCAAGTACACATCTGATTGTTTGTGTTACAGCTACAGACACCATTCCAACAGACTACCTTCCCTGTGAAGTCAAGTGCTTGTCTTAAACAACTAAGTGGGAAAAACTTAGCGGGAAAACTGAAAAATCCTTTACCACTGTGTTCTGATTTAATACTGATAGAGACACACAGCAACAAACCCCTCTACTTAAAGATTTCTAGACAACTTAAATCACACACAAGCTCATCTTTCCCTGAAAGTAAAATTGCTTAGTGAGGAGCCTCGACACATGAAGTTGCATCAGTTTTTAGTCTGAAAACAAGGAACTTGCCTTAGCAAAGTAAAACAAATCAAAGCACATTTAATATTTGGAACATAAATTATTTCTGCTTGTTCCCTGGCTATGCAAGACAGTATTCTCTAGTGTATTGAGTTTGAAACGAAAGCTGAAAAACTGCGTTTCACTGAAAGTCCTCCCCTGTAGTTTAAGACAAATCTGTTTCTATATGTGCACTCAGTCTGGGTCGCTCCACTTCCTCCCTCCCACCATTTACAAATTAACAATGCTGGGAGTTGTTCTGAGCACAGACACTACGCCTACTGGTTATTCCGCACTAACCTTTTCTATTTTCCTATCTAAACCCCTCCCTTTTTTCATACTTCCCGATCCAAACAAATCCAGCCACCACCTGAATATGTCAGCACCCAGCAAAATTAAAAATATTGCCCCCCATCCCGGTTACTGTTAACAGATTGTAGACTTCTTACAAAAAAAACAAACAAACCAAAAACTTTCTCCAATTTCCCTTCCCCCCATCCTCCCAAAGTACTGGCTCATTCTGAGAGACTTCAGCTTTAAAGAATTGAAAACTTGATATCAAACACTATCAGGGATTAACACAGGTTTGCAGGCTTTATGCACTCTTACAACAATTCCAGTTCTCATCAGTAACTAGTGAAGAGCTTGCACCTGCCTGACATTTTATCATATGCTACTTATAGGATACCATGGTTTCTACAGACACTATTAAAACTTTCCGCTTTGCAGTCTTATCTGAAAGTAGCTTTGACTCACTTCTCTATTATTAGCAAAAGACTCTTACAGTATCACAATACTGTTTTTGTAAGACATTAAAAATACTAACTCTTTTGATATACAACTAAGAGGCTATTTAGGTGAAAATATTCAGTCTTTCTGTAGCATGTCTCTCACATCCCCAGATCTCCTGCAACCCACTAAACCCACAGCCCTTAAAATTGTGATCTATGTATAAATCAAATACGGGCCCTGCCCCCTCGCACATTTTGTATGGATTCAAAATCCAAAGTTCTGAGATTCACTATCCAAGATAGTAAACTACTTCAAACACGCATATTGGGCAAGCAAATGTATGAGTAATACAGTCAGAAGTTGCTGGAAAAGGAAAACTTAGGTCAAGAAATTTAATTCAGACTAAGTTTTATCAGGATACTGAAACGTATCTGTCTTTATAGAGATTCACCCCTTTTTAAGTATCAAGTATGCTTTAGTAAGCCTCCAGGCCACCTTATTGAGTCTCACTTAATGCTAGTCTCTTTCAGAAGCAGAATAACCAATACCACTTCCTCCAGCATATAAGGGTTTTTTGTTTGTTTTAATATAAATGAGGTTGTTACCTAGATAACAAAGCAGCCTGGGAATCTGTCAAGCTGCATATCACAGTTCCACATAGTAAAATAAAAAACATACCACCACAAAAATCAGAATCAGATTATCATGAAGTTTCTATTTTCAAAATATATTGTACCATTTCTGGCAAAGAAATTAAACGACAATTTTGACACGCCAAGCCTGCAGTGAGAAGTTCCAATTTTCCAGCCATCATATGGCTCGGAAACATGCGATGGGAATATTCTCTGGGTCCCAGCACTCTGCCGTATCCCCTCAATCTACATCAGCTTCCTCTTTCCTCCCCCTCCATTCCTTCTTACTAAATCTGCAGGAAAAATAGCTTATTTTGAAAAGCCCTTTTGCTTCTCCTATTCTTCTTAATTGCTGTTCAATCCCGCAGCTCTTTGCTGTAATGCGAGCCAGATACAAAAGAACTAGTCAAAGGCACAGACATAACTGGGAACAAGCACACTATGTATGAAAAGAGCACGACACAAGCAAGGAAGCAAAGCTACAGATGTCATGGGTGTCTTTAGGAAGAAAATTTTCACAGCTGGGTGGTCTTCAAATGGAGAGATTATCTGCTCTTGCATGTTATAAAATGCAGGTGTTCTCTGTCCTCCTGTTTTTCATCGACAAATGCATTAGGCATTGTAGAAGCCTAAGAGGCACCAAATATTTCACAGCTTTGCAAGCTTCTTTTCAAGTCTTTTGGGGGAAAGAAGAATAGCACAATCTCTAGTGGCAAGTAACATGTACCCAAAATATTCTAGAAATATACAATAGGCAAGGAAATAATATACTTAAAGTCTAACACTAAGCTGATGTCTTGCACACCAGAGCTGACTTTCAACACTATGCAGACTGATATAAGGACTAGCAATGAGTCACACAAAAATCACCTTAAAGTGGAGCGGAAGAATTAAAGTTGCTTAATGTGCTTTTATGCAAACAACACTACCTAGCAGCAGGTTTGGCGAAGGAAGAATATTTCTAAAATTCCCCACTAATTACTCCACACATAGTAGTTAGGCCATTTTATAAGCCACTTGAAAAGGGAGAAGTCAGCGTTAACTTGTCTTATAGTAATTACTCAGAAAATGATGGGTTCTCTGCTGAGTTTATATGTATAGCCATGACAGCCATATATATCAACTTTCTATTTGTTTTTTTAAATCTGCCCAATAATCACTGCAGTGGTCTACACACACTACAGTCTGATATAACCAGAAATAAGTCAGAAGTAAGAAAATATCCTAAGCCCACTTACTCCTAACCAATAAGGTGTGCTGTACTAGTGAGGAGCAAAGATAATTACAAATGGGTGTGAACCCAAGCTCTGTACCAGCTCTGCAGAAGAGGTCAAGGAAGAAATAGTAGCAGTAGTCACAGTACCAAGTAAAGGGGATGCTAGGACAGGACAAGAAGATGAAGGCAGTCTTCTCAAGTGAGATTCAACTTTAAAAAACCACAACACCAAACACCAAGAAAACAACACACCACACATGCACTCTTATGCAAAGATCTCACTGCATCCGTATTTCTAGTCTTCTACCTCAAAACACTGGCATATTGTCACACTTTGGAGTATGCAGCAAGAGGTTAAAAACATTCAGCCTAGTTTTAGATAGGAAAACTCGTCCTCTAAATATCCCTCAGGCTTTCAAATTCTTGCTTTTTGGAGACTATAAAACATGCATTAAGAGAATGGGTATTTTCTTTTTATTCCTTAGATTGCTTTCCTCTTTTTCAGGGGACAGGAAAGAAGATTTACTTTTATAAGGCAATGCAACAAGTTTGCAGGAATTTTCAAACCAAAGCTGTGTGTGAACTAGACTGGCAGTAAAATGCCTAGAAATGATCCTATAGGTGCTAGACAAAGTCTACCTTGGATCATTAACAAATAGGGAAGCTCTGTATTCTGTGAAGCTACATGCATCAATAAGCCATATGCAGCAGTGAAGAGAACAGATATTCTAAGTGTATTCCTATTACAGTAAAGCAATTGCCATCCAGAAAACATACAGAAATCAAATTTTATCTCCTCTTTCCACAGCCAAAGCAGTAAAACAACAACATTCCAATTTATGCTTTGTTTTTATAGGAAAAACTTTAAGAATGAACAGATTTAAACAGCAAAGACAACAAAATTGGTTTTGAAAAGCTAGAGGTTAAAGGAACTCACTTCGCAACATGGATTAACACCCATTGTTATTAACAAATAAGGTGGCAGGGGAAAAAAACAACTGTATTTCTGAGTTATGCCACAAGGTATCCTTGATGGTTTCACTAGTTTTCAGAACAAGATCTTCTGAATATTTATATGAAGTCTTGTTCTTCCCCTATCTGCCTTCCAGCCTTTTGAAGTCTATTCTAAGTTTTGGATTAATTATTCAGGCCTAAAATTAATATCCCCAAAACCACAGACAGCAAATGCAGTCTCAACAGGCTCTTAAAAAAAAAAGGAATCCTAAGTGACAGTCACATACTTGAAGGGCTCCAAAATTACTCTAGTGTGTGTGTAACAGTCTCTTTATTGTATAAAGATTAAGAACAGCAGGTCACCAAGGAACCTTAATAAGCAAGGTGGCATTCTTTCCTCTAGAGTATTATTCTGTAGAAACATGGGACAAAAATTCAGGTCACAGTAGCAACTCAGGATGCCCTCCTTTTCAAGGAACTCTTTAAGCAATCCAATCATCCTAGTCACTCTCTGATAACAGGCATCATCATATTGTTTGTCCTTGTGATATAGAGCAGTGGTACCTCAAAAAAATTGAACAAAACCAAACCAAACAAACCTACGAAGTACTACAGTCCAATAGCTTTCAACCTACATGTTGAAACTTGATCTGGTGGCTAAAAATACAGAATTAGTTCTTTGCAGTTAGTTCCAATCAGACACTGAAACATAAAATCAGAGGTCTCTACAGATGTGAAACAGTCCCTTCCCCATATTAAGACATCAAGCATTGGCTGAACTAGTCTAGTTACTTAAATGGTTTGAATGGTATAAAGGTTTATTGATAAAAAAAAAAATCTTCATACAAAAAGAAAACCCACAGAACATATTTCTCCAGTTCTCATACCTCTTTCTTCCTCGTGCTTTTTGGCTGAGGCACTCTTAGGTCTTCCTCTTCCTCGTCTGCTATGATCTGAATGGCTGTTAGACCTGGATCTTTTTCGGTTTTCTAAGTCTTTATTTACTGCAGAATTTATCTTCTCTCGCTTAACTCTCTCTGTCCGTCTCCTTTTGGCCTCACTCTTGTTTTCTGTGCAAATGAATAGAGATGTTATGATGTAGGGTTGTTTTCATCTTTGTTCTTAATTTACCCTTAGTGCTTACCCCCCAGTCACTTTTTTCTTCCAATCTCTTAGCAAAAGTGGTTAGATGTCTACAGCTTTACAGAACAATTACATCTGCACGATATCCATGCAGAAACTAAGGCGTGAGATCCAGAATGACACTTCACTTCTTAATTACAAGGATCAAGCCTTTAATTACTTCAAATGCATTTTGCAACATGAGACATTTGCCAGCATACAAAAAGTTCAGTCTCCCATAAGACAGGAAAAAAACTGTACACATCACAGCCATCAAGACAGCCCATCGCATGTTTCCACTAGCCAAAAAAAAAAAAGTTTATCATATAGGCAAACAGCAAAGTACTTCATCTTCTTTCGACACTAACAATGCAATCATTCCCGCTACTCTCACAAATCGAGATGCTGAGTCAACAATGCTGTCAGTAAATGCCACATTACATAGCATACATGTCCCACCAAATCTAGCCTATGACAATGCCTCGTAATGCTGAACAGGTGTATTGTTTTCCTACACACCGGAGTCAAAAAAAAAAAAAAAAAAAAAAAAGAGTATTTACCTGAGTTTCACCTCTAAGTTAAATATGGATTAATGAGCTTAGCTACTGAAAAGAGCACAGTCACCACAGCACACCATTCAACACAGACTAGTTCACATTTGCAAGGCTGCAGCACCATTCTGCAGTAGCTATATTGTTGAAAATACTGGAACAGCGTTTTCTAAAAGAAGTTGCAGTTACTTTATGAGCACAATACAGACATACATGGTCTTCCACGATATCTTCCTGGGAAACTGGTTTCCTTTTGCTGCGGTTGTCCCATTAATCTTGTATAGACACAGGGTACAAACTGGACAGCAGGGTAACTTGTCACTAATGTTAATACAAAAGCTGTATTTCACAGTAGGCTGAGGTAGCAAGGGACCTGTGGAGACCAGCCTGCCCTACCCCCCTGCTCAAGCAGACACCAAGAGTTGGTTGCCCAGGACCATGTCCAGATAGCTTTTGAGTATCTCCAAGGATGAAGACTGCACAACCCCTCTGGGCAACCTGTGTCAGTGCTTGGTCACCCTCACAGTAAAAACATGTTTCCTGATGTTCAGAGGGAACCTCCTGTGTTTCAGTTTGTGCCCATTGCCTCTTGCCCTGCCACTGGGCACCACTGAAAAGAGCCTGGCTCCATCTTCTTTATACCCTCCCTTCAGCTATTTACATACATTGACGAGGTCCCTCCTGAGCCTTCTCTTTTCCAGGCTGAACAGTGCCAGCTCCCTCAGACTTTCCTCCAGTCCCTTATTCATCTTCATGGCCCTTCACTGGACTCCCTCTAATATGTCCATGTCTCTCTTGTACTGGGGAGCCCAGAACTGAACACAGTACTCCAGGTGTGGCCTCACCAGTACTGAGTAGAGGGGAAGGATCTCCTCGACCTGCTGGCAATACTTGCCTAATGCAGCCCAGAATACCATTACTTGCCTTTGCCGCAAGGGCACATTGCTGGCCCCTGTTCAACCTGCTGTTCACCAGGACCCCAGGTCCCTTCCTGCAAAGCTGCTTGCTGTCCAGGAGGGCGGCCCCCAGCTTATGTTGGTGCATGGGGTTCTTCCTCCCCTGGTGCATTTCCTATGTACAAAGACGAATTATACAAGAGCTTTGCTCTACTAGCTTATGGCTTTCAGCTTAATTTGGTAACTACTTTATCAACTTTCAAATACAGCAATCAGGGAGAGGGAAAGAAAATTAACCAACACTTCCAAACAGCACCACAGATGTTGCTTAGCCTCCTCCATCTCAAAAGTTCAGTTATCTAGCATAATGTCATATAATTCCCATAAGCTTGTAAACTACAAGTATCCTTCAAAATACCGACACAAAATATCAAATACTTAGTTTCCATTTTGCAGGCCTGGTAGATAATTTTAAAAATAGACATTATAAATCAGATACTTGTTTGGGTTTGGGGTTTTTTTGTTTGTGTTTTGAGATTTTTTTTTTTTTTTTTTTTTTTAACAGCTTCCCTGACAGGTGCTTGTTCTGACTAATTCCTACTAGGACTGGAGGAAGCGATAAAAATGAACACAAGGAGAATGTTAATCATGCCAGAATGCATATTCAACCAACTCCTTACTGTGCCCATCAATAGGAACAGACACACAAGTTGGACACAAAAAATACACTGTTTTTTAATTTAACCATGCAGAGACACACAAGACCCACCTGGCTTTAGATTAAACATATGACCAATTTTATACAAAGTGCCACTCAGGTGTTCATGAATAAGTACAACTCGGCATAACTTCTTCAAAAAAAAAAAAAGAGGATTTTTACTTTCAGAAGACTTAACTTCAATCAGCATGTACTCTGAAAACTGATCCCTTTCGCACCTCTAGACATTTAGCTTCAAAACAGGATTAACAGAAAGCTTTCTGCAAGAAGTTATTTTGCATAGTGTCCAATATGCACAGCTAGAATATACACAGAATAAATGACAACATCGCGAGTACAAAGGAAGTAAGACTGAAAGACCAGCTTTTTCCCACCCCTCAAAATTCAAGAAAAAAATAACATATTAAAAGTCTACCATGCACAAATTCAAGAGAAAGTGAACTGACAACAGTCAATAGACACAGAGAAGTAAAATACTCTATCCTTTGCCTCCAAGAAACAAAGGGAACGAACTGTTGTCCTCTTCTTCCCATCTCTGTAAGTATTACCTGTGATGGGTGGTGATCTCTCAGCACGTTTAGCATGCAAGAGTTTTCGACTAATAAATATGTAGCCACAGGGACATGATTTACATGCAACAGGAACCTGGGAAAACAAAAGACAAATATTTCAGATCATTTCAAATTATGACAAAATTCCTGTCTGATGAAGAAAAAAACCCTATAACTCACATTTTGTCCTCAGAGATACCTCTTCAAATTCAGTCTGCAGTGCAAACTATGTCCTGTGCTGTTATACAATTGTATTTAAACCTGGTAAAAACAGGCTCAACTGTGAATCACCACCAAGCCTTTTCTTTATGCAGTTGTTAGAAATCAAGCTTGAAATGTACAGCTGCTGTGACCACTTTGTACTACAAACCCTTTTCCCCAGACTGTCAGGAAAGGGGTTGGGGAAAGCAGAGAGCACAAAAGCAGGGGTGAATTAGAATAGAAATATAATTTCTCTTCAGAGCTTTCAAATATCCCCAGTCAAATCAGTCAGACATTCCCAGTTTTGCTTCCTCCATTTACTTTAAAAAAATAATGTTAAAGTATGAGTTAAAACTACCAGTACGTTCTGAATACATTCACTTTGAGAAGCATTTGAAAGCAAATCCTTTGGAGAGCAGGAGCAGCTTTAAACAGGAGGCACAATAGAGCCCAAAGCAAAACAGATGCATTTGTACCACACTCTACAACACCACCGTAGACAAGGCTGGGTGGTTACAGAAGGACCTAGTTAATTCAGAATGCAAATAACCTACCACAGCTAGTCAAAAGCTGACTGCAGGCTGAAATGTTTGAGAGATTATAGTGCTGCTTCTGATCAGCTAAGCAGTCAGAAGCAGTACATTCCCCCAGCATAAGACAATTTAAAACAAAGGTGAGAATCTGAAAATGCCACACATACATGAAAAATTACAAAAATCTTACTCTGAGCAATGAAAAAAAGTGATGCTGATAAATTACAAACCTCTTTACCTTCACTTAAAGCCAAGATCTTTCGAGATCTTTTAAAGTAGTAAGGAATACACCATATTGCTTTGATTAGATTTAAGACTGAAAACACAAATCAAAGCAAGTTTAAACAGAGATCTGGAAGAGATTAACACACATTAAAGGCAAGTCATGTTGAAGCACGACAGTGGGGAAAAAAAAAGCAGGAGGCAGCTTCTCAAGTGTAATTCTTTAAGACAGGTCTCTACAAGTTTGCCAATGTCCACTGAAACCAACGGGAGTACAGAACCATGACTGCCCACTCAATTCTGGTGGACATGCAGAAGAACCAAGTTCCAGTGTTCTACTGGCTAGGAAAAAACCTGCCAAATTAGTACATGAATTTGTAAAGGGGAACTTAACTGCTACTCAGAATAAATGAATTCTTTTGCTTTCTGTAGCACATCTTAACTCCTGTACTTCACCCTACGAGCAGGTTACAGATAGACTTCTGATAAAGGTTTTATGTAACTAGAAACTCTTTAATTCCCTTTATGGAGACACTGACATACTAAAAATAATTCTAATCAAGGTTTATTGAACCTTAAAGCTCAGAATTTAGCAGCCCTGTGTGCACACTTATCTCCTTGTTCGTTAAGTCAGCATAAGAGTACTAAGAAAACCCATTATCTAGCAGATAGTTTGTATTGTTAAGGTGATACAGGAGTTCCATTTAAGCCCATTTTTGAACACCTGGGTCTCTCCAATAGTTACGTTTCCAGGCTCAACCTAAAAAAGCCATGGGGAAAACCACCCAAGGGGTTTGGAGCAGACCCAATGTTTTTCAATGAACTTAACCGTGTTTAACAGAACAATATTGTTCTCATGTTTCAGGTTTGGCATGTAGGTGTGTGCGTCATTTGTGGGGGGATTAGGTGGGAAGGGGCTTATTCACTGAAAGATACCAGTTATCCTTTGAAGGCCTACACTGATAACATCCTGTAACATAATTATTAAAGCAACATAGTCCTACAAACACCATTTTACTCTAACATTTTCCTAAGCAAAAGGAAGTTGAGTTTCTCATACAAGAAAGTTTACCTGACACTAAATTAAGAAGTGATAACTATTTCTTCTGATTGACTGCAAGTACTTCAGGCTCCCTAGTTTAATGAGGCCATGCTTTGATTGCAAAAATATCAAAAACCTTTTTTTTTTAATTTTATAAAAGTCTAAATGGCAATTGCATATCATCTAAATTACAACAGAAAAAGTTTAAAAGCCTAAGAAGTGTTACTCAATACTGCGCTCCAATATTTGTGGCTGTCTAAATATTTCCATGCATGCCACTTCTAGCGAAGAAATCAGAAACAAATGCAAAACCCTTGTTTATGGAAGAATTTCAGAAACGCTAGTACAGGACACAACCACTTAAGAGTCACACAAGAGCTTCCTCACACTCCACAAAGGGCTGACTTGTACTGTAGGTTTTAGTTTCTTGTCCTCCCTCAGACATTTAGCACTGGGGAAAAAAGGTCCTATGAGCAATACTTGTGCTGAGGCAGGATGCATACACACATTAATACCATGTTAGCCACAGAAGAGTTACTAACAGAAAGTCTACACTCATATATGCATGTGTTTTAGTCTTAAAGCGCAGAACAAAGTGAAAGTTTCAGCATCAGCTTAAAAAGCCTATAATGTTTGCTCTCTTGCTCTTCCTATTGTTGGTAGTCTGACATTCGCTGCATTTAGTTAAAAAAAAAACCAAAACAAAAACCAACCACCCACCACCACCACTCTCATACTCAGCTTCTCACTCATTTTTAATGTCTTCCTTCACCAACTGAATAACCAGAACTTGGCACACATTTTTTTCTCGGAAATAGCACTTCAGTGACGTGCTTAACATGTGAGCATTTGCAGTGGTTCATCTATTGCTTAAAACATGAAAGAATGCCCTCCACACAGCTTAACATTCCAAACTGTTCCAGGATGAGCAGAAACCCTGTAAAAACGATGCAAGTCAGAACAAATAAGATGACTGGTTTTCAATCTTTATAAGTGAAGAAAAATGGCGTGAGATTATTTTTTTTTTTTTTAAGCATAGCTAAAATACTGTGTACCAGTGAAGTTCCAGGATCAAATAACAGAAATGCGTTTCCCACGATTACATGTAAAAGCCTCTCCCCCTACCCTGAGCCCCAGCGCAGCCTTCTGCAGCGCTGTGCCATTGTTCCGAGCGCCGCCGTAACGAACCGGCCTGCTTTTAATAGTAACATCATTACCAGTAAAAAGCGTAAATGAAGAGAAGCTCGTGATACAGCAACAGTTCAAATCGGCTGCTGGTTTAAGTGTAAGTAACTCCGCTTCGTACACGTAACACAACTGCAGTGAGACAGAAACAACAGCTCACGTATGCATTTGGACTACACGATAGAAATGGCAGTGAAAGTCTCAATTCTGCTGTTTCTAAACCACTCCGTGAGAAAACACCACAACTGAACGCTCTCCCGACCAGCCTCAGGCACATTAGTCATCCAAAGGACAAACTGCACTGCCTAAATTACCAAGTTCATTATATTTTTAATAAATTACGTAGTTACCAAACAACACTAGCGCCTAAACAATTCTGAACGCTGCTGCAGCATAATGTAATAGTTACGCTACCCTGCAAGAGTAACGCGATGTTTAACCCACAATCCAAGCAGAGACTGCCAAAGCAACCATTATTTACTTCACGTAAACACCGCTTCACAGCGGCACGGAGACTATTCGGTTTCCCCCCTCCTCCCTCAGCAGCGAACAGCTCGGTCGACAGCTTCTTGCACGGCCACCGCAGCGGCGGG